GCCCTGAGCATGAGGGTCTCAGGTCCCTGGCAGGTTAGGACTGAAAACAGGGACACGGACACCCAATTTCTTTAAATATCACCATGGAATGAAAAAACATCGATTCCTGTGGAATTGCAGATCTCTAAGAACACATCTGAGAAGCATCGACCTATGAACGTGTGCTCAGCAAAATGCCTGAATTTATTTTATCTGGAGACTTGTGGTGGATCGATCCCAATGAGGACGTTGGCTCCCAAATCCACACAGAGGACGGAGGTGCTGCTGGGTGCCCTCGGAGCAGGGGGCACTGCCTGGCAGGTTTTCACTCCTGCTGGGGGTGGGACATGACGGCTGGCAGCCTGGCCAGTGGAACTCTGCCAGAGCAGGTCCGGGGGTGCTGGGGCCTGCGCCCCACTGTGAAGCAAGTCAGGCTGGTTCTGTTCCCTTGTTCAGGGAGCCTGTGGACCCCAGGACCCCAGGGGTTCCTGTCAGAACCTGCAATCTGCTGTGCAGGGCCCCGCCTGGGGGTGCAGCTCTGTGCGGCCAGGTACCTTCCTGTTTCTGAAAAGCTTTTCCCAGCTCATGGACTAGTCCAGAGAGGTGGCTGGCTTGCCCAGGGATGCACAGCCCCGAGGCAGTGCTGGGTTTTTGTGGGGGGGCAGGCCTACTTCCCCAGTGGGTAGTCAGTTCTTCACAGCCCTTTGGGGGTCTTCCTCCTCCAGCTGTAGGACGCTGAGTTCTCCTGCGGTGTGTCTGGGGCTGTGGAGGCCGGCGGCCCTGTCTTCTCCCTGTGCACCCCCTCCGTGCGCACTTCCTTCAGGGCCTTCCCGTAGTGGCCCACGGTGGGCGGTTTGACTCAACCTGCTTGCTCCCAGCTCGGTCCCCTTGGGCAGCACAAGGGCTCGGTGGAAGAGGGGAAGCATGACTCTTCAGCTGCTGGGTGACTTCTTTCCCTTTCACAGTGTGGAGCCTGAGGGCACAAGAGCCAGCACTGGGGACAAGAGCCATTGCCCTGTGGAAAAAACCGTGGTTTTCCCAAACAGGGAAAGATCCTAGTGATGTCATGGGCTCTGCCCGAGGGCCCAAGTCCCATCGGTCATGGTGCTGGGACAGCCTGCTGGAACACTAGCCTGGGCGTGTGACGGGCCTGGCCTGGGCCTGGGCTCCCACCTCCCGGCAGCTGGCTCTCAGAGAAGGTGGGAGGCCAGGTGGCTCCTGCTGCCCACCCCACAGGCGCGGCCCTGGTTCAGAGGCGGGGGTGGCCCCTGGGGTGGAAGTCCTAGGTTGAATGCGTGGCCACAGGATGGGCCTGCAGAGCAGGAGGTGGCCCCCAGCCTGCCCGCCTGGCAGGAACCTCACCCTCCCTCTGGGGCCCTGGCCCTGGCCTCAGCCTGGCTGCCCGGCAGCCTAAGGCGGCCAAGTGATTCCCACTCCCCTCTCTTTCTCCAAAGGAAGGCCCTGGGCCGATGAGGTCATGGGAATAAAAGCTCCCTTTGCCCCCAAAACAGTGGGAGTCTGCAGTCAACTTGTGTGGCCCCCGCCACCCCCCCATCGGCGTGCACATGGGGCCACCAATGCTTGAATCCCAAGATCATCCCGTCACGTGGATGGGGAAACTCAGGCTCAGATCCTGGGACCCCAGGATCCTGGCTCCAGGTCATGAAGTCACCAAACAACACGGTGTCCAGGTCCAGCCCCCTGGCCTGTGGCCAGCAGCTGTGACGGACTCGCAGACTGAATTCAGTTCATGAACTGTTCCCTCTGTTCCTGCTCAAGTTTTGGGCACCAGGTGAGGGTGGGACCTTGTGCGTCTGGGCAGGGGCTAGGCTGTGGCAGGTCAAGGGAAGAGTTCTTCCTCCCTGGGGGCCTGTTGGGTTATAATCTGCTAATGGCCTCCATGTTTTCAATCGATTAAAAAATTAATTTAAAGAATTAGCTTTTAGCTCACAGTATAATGCAGAAGGGTAGATACCGGTCCTGTGGGCGTTCTGGTCAGGACTGATATCTATCACTTAGCCAGCACTGGGGACGGAACCCAGGAGCACGTTACCGCTGAGCTACGTTCCCAGCCCTTCTATCTGTTATTTAGAAACAGGGTCTTAGAAGTTGCCCAGGCTCACCTCAAACCTGGGATCCTCCTGCCTCAGCCTCACCAGTAGCTGGGAAGAGTCACTTTGTTGATGATGATGATGATGAACACCAGACCTTTAATTTATTTGTTTATTTTTTATTTTGGTGCCAGGAACTGAACCCAGTGCCTTGCTAGGCAAGGGCTTTACCACCGAGCC